AATGGAAGGAAAGAGAGAAGAGAAGGAAGAAGGAAGATGGAATGGAAGGAAAAGAGAAAATAAATTCACCCTAGTACCTGGTTTTTCCAGAAGCAAAGAACTAGAAGCAAAACTGGCCAGAGTGCAAAGCTCCACGCTCATGCATGCAGCAAGGCTGAGGGCTGGGCTCTCCGGGGTTTGCTTCTCAGGAACTAGGGGGAAGATGTCTAACGTGGCCATTCCTGGGAGTGTGGATGACAGCGTGTATGAGAGGAGTTATTCACATGTACACGTGCATGAATATACATACATGTTTCTCTGCCCAGGGGTCCTCCTGCTCATGGTGCTGATGCATGTTAACTGCCCTACAGGTAGTCCCCTCACCTCTCTCTCTCTCTCCCCCTCTCTCTTTCGCTGACCACTCATGGATCATCCCCTGACCCTTAGGCCCCACTGCCACTAAGTTGAGGCAGCCCACGCCTCTCCTGGCTCTCCCAGGAGGCTCCAATAGGACACCCTCAATGGGGTGCTTTGCTCCTCCCAGGGTCCTTATCCTGCCCTCCTCCACCCTGCTGCAGAGGAAGAGCCAAAGATGCCAACCAGGAGACATCACCTCCCTCCTTATAAACCTTTGGTGGTGCCCCAGAAACCAAAGGGTATGGTCCTCCCGACCAGGTAGGGCAAACTGTGCCCCTCCCAAGCTGGTTCTGGCTCACACTCTCTCCTCCCATCTCTGCACCCAGTGCACACTTCACTCAGGAACCACCCCTTCCTTTGCTGTATATGATTCATGCCTGCTTCTTGCCTCTGCTCGTGCTCCTGTATTCGCCTAGACAGGGCCCTCTGCGTGCTTCTTCGTTTGGCACCCCAGCCCAGGTGCTGGGACTCAGGCCTGTGGCCCTCTCTGTGAGACAACCTCATGTGAGTTCTCCGTCCTCTCGATGCTCAGGGCTGTCTGGGTGTGCCGCGATGACAGCACCTAGCATGCTGGTTTGGAGTTACTGGGTTCTGTCTGCGTGCCCTGCCAGATTAGGAGATGCCCAAAAGGAGAGGTGACCTCCTTTTCCGTTTTTCTGCCATTTCGCTGCCTGGAACACAGCACGTGCTCAGCTGATGAATGAATGAATCTTGGTGTGGAAAAGGCTGTCCCCACCAGAGTACACATGCAGCAATACAAAGATGTGTGCGAGAAAGGGCAGGGGACTGGGGGTTTGGTGGCCCGTGTAGGTAACAGCATACGTGTGGATGCTGCGTAAGGCTGGAGGGAGTGAGTGCTGACTGGGTGCCTCTGGGGCTTGGTGGACTGAGGTCAGAGGGTGGTGGTCAGTACATAGCGCTTGCCTGGAGACAGCCTCCGCGGGTTTCCCTGGCCTACGGGATGGCGGCAGCCTGTGGCAGGCAGCAAAACACTGAATTCCCAGCCACGTGGGAGGAAGTGTCTCTAGCCGAGAGGATAGAGGAGGTGGGGTGGGGTGGAAATCCCAGCTGTAAAGATGAACTGGCAGTTCAAGCTGCAAGTTACTGTCAGGGTGAGGCATGCAGCCCCAGGGTCGGGGGCTTCCCCAGGCTGTACCCCATGCACTCAACAGTTCCTCTTATACCCGGGCTCCTCAGTGCCAGGAGAGCTGGGTACCCAGGTGAACTGTGCTGTTCTGGAACTAGAGTCCTGAGCTCCAAGATTTACTGGACTGGTAAAATTTGAGGGTTGCCAACATTTTATTTTGCTAAGCATGTATATTTTTTTAAAGCTTCATCCATCATATCATAAAAGAAAGGACAACTTAATGCCAATATGGTAGGAAGGATGCAATCTCAGAGTAATGGCCGGCCCTTCCCAGAAAGGGCAGTTGACGACTGTTCAAGTCATTCCATACATAAGCCATGCTGGTGCAGCGTAGACCAGCTGTGGTTGGCGGACTGGCCCCTGGGACCCCGCCCCCAGCTAAGGCCTCCCAGCTGGTCCAGACCTGTGGTGCCTGCATGGGACCCTGTGTCTAACAGGCCTGGATCCCAGCTGCTCTTCCCAGCTAAGGCATCAGCTTTTCCCAGATAGGAAGGGAGGGACAGTACACCCTGTTATTCACTAATGGGTTAGCACCCAGGACAGGTAAATGTTAATTGGAGATGAAGGAGAAAAACATCTGTAATCTGGGGTTTTCTGGGAAGCCAGGCCTGGGCAGGCGAGAAGGGTCTACTGGTGAAGCTTCCCACTTCCCATTCCTGCCCTATGGGCTCTGAGTCTGGTGGCTTGATGGCCAGTGGAGTGGGGGTGGGTGGTGGCAGCTGTCCCAGGCCACAGGCGTGGGCATTCCTCTTCTAAGCTCCACACTCATACCCAGCCCTGTTTATAAGGCACAGGAGCCAAGGAGTCTGTGTGGCCCCGCCAACTCAGCCCGGAGGCCCAGAGGAGGGAACCCAAGCCGAGGCTGGACTGAACAACATCTCATGCCAGCCCCAGGACCTGTCTGCCTGCAGCTTCCCAGAGCCTCGGGCACCTGACCTGTGACCCTCTGGGTGCCCTGAGGGCCTGGGATCTGGGCCAAGGAGGGGAAAGCGAATGCTAAGAAGGCCTCGGGGGTGGGTGGCATTCATGTCCCCTGGGCGCTGCACGCTTTAAATAGCTCAGCTTCTCTCCAGCTCACAGTCTTGTCACCCCTGCCAGCTCCTGCCTGAGTTTCCACATCAGAGAGGGCTGATTTCCAGGTCAGGATGGGGAGCGGGTTGGGGGACAGGGGGACATGGCTTCCTTGGGTGGCAGAGACTCAGGAGAGGAAAACAGAGTGCTACCCCCATCCCTCTGCAATCCGTTGGACTTTATCCTCCAGGCCAGGCAAGAGCCCTGGAGCTCGATGGGCAAGGGGCTTCATACGGCCTCCCCTGTCTCCCTGGAGAAGTCCACACCCAACCTAGGCCACCTTCTATTTGAATCAGCAAGCCCGTGACCAAACACCCCCACCCAGAGAGCTCTTGGACTTCACCCTCCATGCCTGCCCTGGGTCCTGGTTCTGGCAGGGCTCACTTGGCTGGGCCCATGACCCACCCTTGCCTCCACGGAAACTTCTGGGTCTCTAAGTCTTGATCCTCCCCACCCCACCCTCCTCCCCACCACTCAGCCCCTAGTGCATCCAAAGCAGGCCTTTACTCAGCAGCCCCAGCCCCTGCTTCAAAGCAGTTTGAATCAGTACAACTGGTTACATTTACACGGCACTTTACAGTTTACAAACTATGTTCACGTCCTTATTTCATAAGGTCTTTCCAACCCCTATGCGTGCTATGCAGAGCAGTTATAAATAATCCCCATTTTACAGCCAATGAGACAGAGACAGCCAGAAATATTAGGGGAAGGATCCAAGTTCATATGTCAAATTAGTGGTACAATCCAGACCGAAACCCAGGCCTTTTACCACACTAAGAATGCTTCGTCTCCTGCCCCCATGCCCCCTCCCTTTTCTACTGTTTGACAAAGGGGAGAGGAGGGGAGACTAACACAAGACAAGGGGAGGAGAGGGGAGGGCCACGTGTCTTCTCTCCCAGGCCCTGAACCCTGCTGCTGGCTTCATAGGTCACTTTCACAACCCAGAACAAAAATCTCACTAGATATGGCCTCAGACCGCCCGGCTCCAGCCACCCTGGCCGGCAGACGCACGCAGACACACAGAGAACGGGCTGTTATCTCTCCTCTCCAGCCCGTTTCCTCCACTTCTCAAACAGCAGATTTCTTCCAACCTGGCTGCCTCCCCTGGTCACCACCCACAGCCACTGGCCCCTGGGGCCCAGCCAAGTCCCCCGCACCCTCTTTGCCCTAGACTGTGACGCCGAGTCTCTGCTAATCAGACAGTCGCCTCTGCCCTCCCAGCCACCGCCCCCAGAGTTCCCTGGAAATGTCCCTTCTGCAGGCCCGGCCCCCGCTGTGGTGCACAGCTTTGTCTGCACACACAGCTGACTTGTGTTTGCAGGGAGGACAGACAGGGGCTGGCGCTGGGGCCGGAGCCAGGAGGCACTAGGAGGGTAGAGCAGATGGGGAAAAACACAAAGTCCAGAGGACAAACTTTTGCAAGCAAGCCCTTTGGGGTCATTTGGGAACCTGACAACAAGAAGAGGGGGGCTCACAAAGCCAGAAGCTCCATGAAGGCAGGGATGGGGGGGTCTTCGCCTTCTGTGACTCCCCCAGCAAACATATTGGCTGGCTAGTCTTTTGTGATCTGAGTACAGGAAAAGTCATGCCAGCTAGGAGGGGATGGGATGACAGAGGAGTCCAGGGAGAGGGGGAGGGACAGATGGGCCTCCTGAGCCTATCAGCACGCACCCCTCCTCAAGCCCTACCCCTGCACTCCGCCCTGCTAGGTACACAGAAGGAGATCCATAAATGCTGGTCATGCTGAAATGGCCTCTGGCCACCTTGCCCCTGTGGGGCCCTCATTCCACTGGCTCCCATGCAGGCTGCCTCTTCTGTGTGTACCGGCAGGAGGGAAGCCTGGGAGAGTGGCTGAGACAGCCCAGCACACCATGCATGCATCTTGACGCATGCTACACGAAAGGATCCCTGCTTTATCAGGCAGAGAACCCAGTGTCCACAGTGCCCCGCCAAGCTTGCAGGGAGGGACACGCACAAACCGACGTGGCAGAAGTGCGTGTGCCACGCGCTGGATAAAGTGTCCCTCACCCTCCCACAGCCTCCCTCCAGCTTTTGCAGTTTTGAGCCTGATTTTGAACTAACACTGGGACACCAAGATGACAGGGTCATGATAAATTAAGTTGTACGGGGGTGTGAGGAGTTTTTAGTTTTTGTTTTAAAAGGCGTAGCAGTGCGGTGAAGAAAGCTATTTACAAGGTGGCTCTTTCTCCTGGTGACACTCTGGGCTGTGTGCTGGGGAAAGCTTCGAAGGGTTTCTAGAGGACTGAGCAACCCAGGCTGCCTCGGCTCACACCCCAGGGTCCTCACTTCTTAATCATTTAGTGTTAGAAATGACATAGCACACAGACTCTCATTGTTTTTTCCTCTCTCTCTCTCCCCTTTTTTGTTTGTAGGCTTGGCCTCTTACACTTAGTGATCTGTGAGGAAGGGACCAGTTAAAGATGCCATCGCCGTTCCTCCAGCCTAGACAGGCAGTGGAGGTACACAGCCTCATCCGAGATACAAGCTGCTTCCTTAGGGCTTCTGCTGCTGCAACCTGTCACAAGAGACTCTGCCACCTGACCTCCGGGGCTGCGTGCGGAAGGTGCTCACAGATGCCCATACCCCACAGACCAGGGCCCACCCTCACCCAGAGCCGCAGCCTCCAGCACCTAGGGCTGCCAAGTGGAAGCAGAACAACCCGATCTGAGTGGTCTTCGCTTTGCATTCACAAATCGTGAAGGTGGTGGGTTGGAAACCAGCCCAGTGGGAAGGAAGGACATGGAGAAGTCTTGCCCCCCTTTGGGAGGGCAAGGAACCATTCTGCTATCTCTCTGCAGCTTGGTGGAGCGTCTCCCCAACCCTTGGCAAGACAGGAAGGGAGGTGGCAGATCCAAACCTGCTGCTAAGCGCCGGCTGGGAAGCTATCTCTCAATTCTCTTGGTCATAAGATGGCAGTGGGGAGAGCCCAAGGCCTGGCCTGTGGGGAGGAGGCTCTGAAAGCATGGCCATCTAAATGGCGTGTTTCTTATCTCGTTTCCCTGTCACCTCTCCTCAGCCTTATAACTGACCCCCTCCAGATGCACTCCTGACCAGCCAGGGCACCCAGATGGCAGTGCGTTCTGAGGAGACAGTGTGTGGTGTACCAGGGACTTGGCTCCAGTTCTGTCTGTCGCTGACCAGCTGCGTGACTTGACGTATACCTCCTAAGCTCTCTGGAACTTTCTTTCTCCATGTATAAAATGGGGCTGTTAACCTCCACCCACAAAGGTCTAAGGGATACTTATGGCCCACAATGTCTGCACACAGCTGGTATCCAGCCAGGGTCTGCAGAGAGCCAGCCCAACTGCAAGGGAGGAGTAACTAGCGTTCCTGCCGGACCCCTGACAGGAACCCCCAGACATGCGCAACACCGGTCAATGTTGTGTTTATGCTAACACCATCGTCCCCACCATTCAAGCCTCACCCACCCAAAGGAGGCAGGTATTATCTATTACCCCCGTTTATAAATGGAAAACTGGGGCCCAGAGAGGGAAAACCACTTGCCCAGGCCACACGGCTGCCAAGTATTAAACTTAGGATTCAGATCGGGGCTGTCCAGATCCTGTACTCTCAGTCAGGGCTGAAATAGCTTTGTAGCATCGTTGTCAGCAAGAGCAAAAAGAAACAAACTGTCATTCTGGGCTCCCCAGGGACCAGTGCGACCTGCTGGGCTGACGTGTCCCAATGCGATGCTACTGAGAATGCTCCCAGAATGCCTCCAGTTCTGGGGTTCGGGGGGCACTCCCAACCCCAGGTGCTCGCCTCCTGGCTGCTGGCATTTCAGTGAAGTGTAGTACTCCGTGCCCACCCTCAATTGCCACCTCAGGCCACCTGGAACCTCCATCTCTGTCTGTTTCCTGCTTCACAGTCCCAGGGTGGTTGATGGGAGAGGCCTTCTTGGCTCAGGGGTAGAAATCAGAAACGGGGTGCCCAGGGCGCACCATGAACTGTCCCTTCTCCCAACATGCCTAGAGGCTGAATGGCCATCCCCTGGCCAGGTTCCCCTAGTACAAACCCCAGAAGAGTGTCTCACTGTTGAAGACAGACCAGGGACCTTTTCTACCAAAAGGGAGTGTCTGTGGCTTTCCCTGGTGCATTTTCTGGGGGATTGAATGCTTGTTCTAAGTTAGCTTGTGACTGACCTGCTCCCATCCTCCCCTGCACTCCCGCAGACTTGGGGCTCCTGCCTCCCGATTGATAAATGACATACCCTTTGAACAGCTAACATTTCTGAATGAATAGCTAAAATAAGGAAGTAACTACAAAAGAATCGACCCCATTTTTCTACCTGGCTCCTTAGAAGATGGCTGAGAATGCCCTCCTGGCTCTCACAGCTCATGCTGTGCACACATTTTTTTCTAGAATTCTGAGGCCCTGTGGCCTGTTTGCCTTCTACTTTAGGAACATCCTAACAAGGGTGGCTGCTAAAAAAACCCCAAGAGGAATCCTCACAGAATGTTCCATAAAACATACTGCAATGACCACAGGGGCCCCAGGCGTGGGGCCAACAAATTGGCGGTGTTGAAACACAGTGACTCTACGGCTGGCTGCCCACTGCTGGTGACTCAAGGCATGCCTGTTTCCAGGTCCAGGCAGGTGTTGAAGGAGCTGACAGCCCACACGGAAGCCCCTTTGCCTCTGTACAAGGCTACTGAGGCCAGATGAGGCTGTAGCCTGCTCTCTGTCCCACCGCCCTCTGTCCACCCCACTGCATGGGAGAAGACAGGTGATAGCCAGGGCTCTTCCCACAACCTCTTCCTGCTGTTTGAGAAAGAACATAACCAACACTAGACAAACCAATGCATTTTAAGAAAATGCAGCCTCAGTTGGTTGATACTGATTCGTTCCTAAGGGCAGCTGGATCTCTGGGCAGGCATTGTTCCCGGGGAATCCGAGACCCACGGTCTGTCCTCCTTCTAAGCTACCTGAGACCTCTGTGGCCCTCCTGTGGCCTCCAGGAGCCCTGGTTGTCTTGGGTGTGAAATGGGAATGAGTACTACACTGGCCCATTTTGGAGGTCTGGAGGGGACCCTTGCTGTGGGTTCTAGTCCAACTCTCAGCCTGAGGTTTCTGGACTCAGGGCTGGGACCCCAGGGGGGCTGAAAATTGCACATAGGAGGGTGGCTTGGTGGCAGTCACCATCATATAGCTTAAATCTTCCCTGTGGGAGAGCCCCCAGGATGCCAAGATGCTGGGAGGCGGCCGCAGGCAGGGAGGGCTGACCTTGCACACTGGTGCCCCCTGCAGGCCTCCCTGCCCACCCAGCAGGTTGCGGCCAGCACACACAAGCCAAGCAGGCCCCAGACTCTGTAGATGGGGCCAGGACCACAAGGCCCGCCCGGTGGGGAGAGTTGGGGATGGGCCCTGCTCTGCACTGGTCAACCTGCTAACCAATCAGTCAGCAACAGGCATTTAGCAGGCACCCTCTGTTTGCCTAGCGCGTCTGCTTTGGGATAACAAAGCCTGAAGGAATGTCTGAAATGACTTCTTCTAACCCCCACCATGTTTTATGCGCGAGGAAGCCACCACCAGGGTAGAAGGCCTGGCCTGAGGTCACCCAGCCGGAGAAAGGCAGGGCTGGGGCCCCCCACCGGATCTCCTGCAGCCCAGAGCACCTCCTCCCACGCTGAGCCTTTAAGTCGTCAGCTTCTGGTTCCCTGTTTGGGATAAACATCTGCCAGATTGCAGACAAAGCAGCTCCCGTCATCTCTTCCCACCCGCAGTGGGTTCTAGGCTCTCCCCAGTCCTGGACCTCCATGCAACCTTCACAGGCTCAAGGCACTCGAGGGGCTGTGCGAGGTGGACAGAGGTGCCACAGGCTCTGCTGGAGAGGGCCTGGTGCCCGGCTGGGGAGACCTGACCCACAGACCACACCCCACCCAGTGCCCTCGTTTCCCCCATGGGGATGCTGAGGCTTAGATGGTGACATTAGTTAAGGGGCAGGCTTCAGACTTTCTGCCTCCTGCTCCACCCCTTGGGGGAGGGGAGGAAAAGGGACTTCTGCAGAGGGGAGCGAGTTGAAAGCAGCAAGGGTTGCTATGTGGACCTGCCCCATGGCAGCCTCCTGCACAGCCCTGCTCCAGCTCCAGCAGGGCTCCTGGGGGCGGCATCAGCCCTCCCCCACCCATCAGGCACGGTACCTCTGCACCTGGTTGGGCGGTGGGCGCCCATCTCCACACAGCTCTTGGAAGCAGCTGGTGCACAAAGAGGGGCTGGTCGGGGCACATGGGGGCATATGGAGGTGGGCATCTCTGCCCTCTCCTACGAGGCAGTAACCTCACCAGGGAGGGGTGGCGGGTGTCTCCTGGTCTCAGATGCCAGACCTTTCGTGCCACACCACCTGCCTCAGAGAAACCCCAGCGTTCAGAGGCCCTGGGGGCTGGCCGGGGCCCCAGATTCAGCGGCCCACTCCACCTCCTGCCGAAGACGGCCCAAGGCTGGCAGGAAACTCACGACTCTTGAGGTAAAAGTTTCAGTTTTGGATGAAAATATGGTCTTGGCCTGAAATGGCAAGAAGCAGGCGCCAGCAAAATGAACAGGCCAGTGTGGTTACAGTGACCTGGGGTCATGGCCTGGCTGGGCAGCCTCAGCCCTGGGCTTGCTGACTGACACCCTCTGCCAGGCTGGCGGTGCCTCCTCCCCCAACCCTCCTCTGCAACCCCCAGTCTCCCAAAGGGTCCTGCCACCTACAGATCCTGTTGTCTTCTGTCTACCCAGATCCTGCCTCTTCCTTCATGCTTCCTCCTCCAGGAAGCCTTCCCCAACCTACTCCACTTACAGGGCTTGCCCCTTCCTCTGACATTCCTAAACTGCCCTCTGGCTGAGCTGGCCCTGCCCCCACTTTATGTGTCACGCAGAGGCCAGTGCCTGTTTCACTGGGGTTTCACAGTGCTGAGCTCAGGGCACCCTGTGGGGCCTCCAGGCCAGTCCCAGGGCCCCTTGGAGAGCTTTCCTTGTGGCTGGATCCTGGGCTCTCTACAGTGCTGCACCCAAACCCCAAGTCCTACTGTGCCAGGGGTCCCTGGACTTGTGGAAGAATCTCTGTGTGGACATCGCAGGGCACTTTCCCTGCCTGGGACCTCCCCTAAGAACCTTGAATGAATGGATTCATCAAAGGGAAAAGGAAAAACATGCTGCTATGAAATTCACAAGTTTCTCATGGAGGAGGAGTCTTAAGGGAACACAGACAAAAAGTCAGGCGTTTCAGTGGATTTTAGCAATGATAATGTCAGTGCAGTAGGCAGGGGGAGGAGTTGGGTATCACGACCCCATTTAACAGAAGAGTAAGTGGAGGGCTGCCACGCTACGAGATCCACCCAGAGTCAACCCGCTGCATGGCGCCACAACTAGAGCCAGAGGGAGGTGGCTGACTCTTGGGCACTTGAGTTATTTCTTATGCCACAGGCGGTAAGCCATTAAAGGAAGTGTCTATGGCAGGGGAGGCTGATTCCAGGTGACTGTGCTTCTAACCCCACTTTAGAGCTATTAGTCCTCTTGCCACATTTTTTTTTATACTCAGAATAATGCAATGACGGTTGCCTAATGGGGTCCATGCTAAGTGTGGGTCCAATATGTGGTGCTCCAATACGCAGTTGCTCAAGAATGCATTTATTCCGATTATAGCTATTCACGAGCTTTAGCTGGAGTCTGGCTATCCCCAAATACCTCCGAAGCCACCCACTTCTTTGGTATGGCCTTTGCTCTGCGGAAAACTGGGGGCAGGGGCATGACATGGTGATGTGCTCACTCCTACGCCCTCTCTACTTAATAGGTCTGGGTGTGGGTGACCTGGGTGCACACAGGCTTCTCTGGAATGCACTTGGTCTTAGGCTGGGCACTGTCAGGGCGGGGTCGGGGGGTGATTTTGAGCATGCCTGTCCTCATACTTCAAAGTGACCTGAAGCTTCTCTTACTCTGGGACCTGGGATCTGTCCTGGAAGGGCCAGCAAGGGGTTAAGAGAGGGTCGTTCCCTGCAGGTTCCTCCCTGTTCCCCACAAAGGGGCCGCTGTTTTTCCCTGAAGACTCAGAGCTCTGTGTCCTGATACCAAGTGAAGGCCTTTAAACCTGAGCTCTAGGTGGGAGGCAGTGAGGGATGGGCACTCTGGGGGTGTGCAGGGACCCCTTATTCTAGGCTCTGGGTTTCAAGGGCAGAGCCATGCTGAGCCAGCACGATGCACACTCCCTGTGCCCATGGTTCTGCTTCTGGTCAAGTGTTTCTGCCTCTCCTGGACAGAGGATCCCAGACAGGGAAGACCTAGAAGTAGGAAAAGCTGGCCTCTGGGCACAACATGGGTTTAAATTGCTCACGTGATGCCAATTGGCCTCAGACTAACCCAGGCACCGATGGCCACCCCTGCAACAGTGCCTCCCTTCCGTGCACTGTGCAGTGCACCCTGTGTGCTCCTGACTTTTCGGTGGCTGTCTGGAGGGGAGCTGGGAAGACCTCTGTCTCCGTAAGGGGGCCTGCTCTTCATCTAGAGGAGATGGAACCTGGCTACCCTGAACACTGTGGGTATAAATACTCTTAGAGTGGGGGGTTCAAGGCAAGAGTGGCATTGCTGCTGGCTGTTGAAAGAGTTGTCCTGTCATCTCCTCTTCCTGTTCCTCTCACCCTCTGTCCTCAACTCCCTTCTGGTTCATTCTAGGCATCAAGAAACACAGCCCACGCAGGTTGGTATGGGCGAAGGGCGACAAGGAAATAAGCCCACAGCAGTGTGGGGAGGGGCACCAGGGTCAGAGGTGGGGCACCCTGTGCAGATTCCCTATCCATTCTTCCCATCAGCGGCCCGCAGGCCAATGTTAGGGGCCCAGGCTATGCACCCCTGGCTGGGGAAGCCTGCTCACCCAGGGGCTTTGGTTCGAAGACGCTCACTGACTTGCCCCAGAAGCTCTTGGAGCCCACCAAGAAGCTCTTGGAGCACTTACTGAAGGAAGGAGACCACAGCTAGGGGAGCACAGTTCCCACACTGCCCCCATCGCAGGCAACCCCAGCTCCTGGCTCTGGCCTGGTGGGGGCGGTGGTGGGAATGCCACAGTTCCATGCGCCAGGGGCCGGAGAGCATGCTCCTGAGAGTAGGGCGGGGAAATGAGGCCTGCCATCATGACTCAGGCCTTTGAGGGGCAGGCTCAAGCCTGAATATGCCCTCTCTCCACAAGAGATCACCACGGCCACCTAGAACCCCTGGCTCTCTAATGTAAAACATCTTTAAGTCCATCATCCTATGACTTATCAACATGTCTTCCTAAAACATGGCCTCTTTCAACCTCCCCAGGCCTCGTCTCTCATCTATAATTAATACGAGGGGATTGGATTGGATGACCTGTAGATCCTTCCTGCAAGTCTACACTGGTCTATGATTTTTAATTGATCCTGGAACTACATCTCAAGAACCCACAATGGCTCCCTGAGTCCCACTTTATAAAGTGCAGATCCTTCTGCCTCTTAGTCAGTCCACCTTATAGACTTCCTCCAGCTCTCAGCTGAATTTCAGTAAGGCAGTATCCTTATTGTCCCTCACTTGTGTCATTTCTTTGGCTCTTGATTGATGATATTTCCCCCATCAAAAACATCCTTCCTGGAAACAGTTTGGCAGATACTCAAAAAGTTAAAGATAAAATTTCCATAAGATCCAGCAATTCCACTTCTAGGTATATACCCCAAAGAATCAAAAGCGGGGACTCAAACAGATATCTGTGCGTGCATGCTCCTATCAGCATGAATCACAATAGCCAAAAAGTGGGAGAAAACCAAGTGCGCACTGACAGATAAATGGATAAAAAAAATGTGGTATAGACACAACATGGAATATTAGCCAGCCACGAAAAAGAAGGGAATTCTGACACATGAATAAATCTTGAAACCACGATGTGAAGTGAAATATGCCAGACACAAAAAGAAAGATACCGTATGATATCCTGTGTGTGCTATTTGTAGGGTGGGTGAATTCATGGAGATGGAAGATGGAGGGGAGGCTGCAGGGGAGTTATTGCTGTAGGGGAGTTATGGTGGGTACAGGGCTTTTGTTTGGGGTGATGAGAGGGTTTGGTGGGGTGGTGGGGGATGGTCATGGGCATTGTCCAACATTGTAGGTGTGCAGGGTACTGCTGAACTGTGCACTTAAAACTAGTTAAGATGGTGAATTTTATGGTATATTTTACTGCAATAATAATTTGCCGAAAAGAAAAGAAAAGAAAAACAGTAACAAAACTGTCCTGCCCTCTTCCTCCTCTGTGGCCACTCCCACCCGCTAGGTCTAGCTCTTTCCTTGCTATACTGCTGGGGCAGGCCTCTGAGCTCCTTAAGCATTTTCAGGAAACACCTTGGGGCCGTACACAGGCTGGTTCCAGAGGAGGACCTCAGATAACTCAACACAATTTTCTTCCTTTTGAAAGACTGACCCTCTGCGGTCCCCTTCCTGCCCAGGGGCCACCGCTCCCCCTTGGTAGTGGCTGGGAGCCTCCCCGGGGAGCCAGGGACAGGGCGGTGAGCAGTTACATAACCCGCAGGGAGATTTTTTCCATCGGCCCAGGCGGTGCCAGCTTTCCAGCAGCAACCACGGCAGGTAGAGGCGCCCTGTCTGGGCTGGCCGTGCCCGGGCAGGGCAGAGATGCTGCGATCTGGAGCCGCTTAGCATAGCTCAGATTCCCCGCGGCGGCTGGGGGCCGGCCACTCACAGAGCTGTGGGGAAGATCTGCTGTCTCCTGCCTGCCTGGCTCCGGGGAAGGAGGAGGAGGAGGTGCTGGGGGTGAACTGCCAGCCAGCCAGGGGTGACCCTCTGGGGCCTGGGACACCCGAGCTGGCCTTCTCCGGTAACCCACTTATCTGCAGGGCTTGCTTCAGCGTGGCAGCCTCAGACAGGGCAGTGCCCGGCCAAGTTCTATCAGGGGATTTAGCAGGGAAAATGAACCCGGGGTGGGGGGTGAGGGCATGCAGGGAAGAGGACACGGTCTGGCAAGAGACACGGGTGATGGTGAAATAATTCCTGACCTGGGTAAAGCTCTTCTGGCCCAGAAGCGAGAGGGAGAAAACCCCAGGCCATTCCCTTTTGTGGCTGTGGCCTGTGCTATTCCCACGCCTGTCTACCCAGGCTCCTTCCTCCCCACAGAAGGAAGCTCCTGGAGCCAGCTAGCTGACGCCTGCTGAATACCTAGTGTGTACCAGTATGGTGGTGGGACACAAAGATGACCCAGACACATGCTTTGCCCCAAGACATCCATGGACACAAGTCTCAGAAAAGAAAAGCTTAAACAGGGGAGCCCAGAAGACTCCATGAAAGGGACACATGGTAAGTGTTCAAGGGTCAGAGGAAGGTGAGGTCCCTGGGCTGGGAGATCAGGGAAGGCTTCCTGGAGGAGGCAGATTTGACTAGGAGGAAGAGTACACCAGTCAGTCCTGGGCCCACTGCCTGCCCATGAAGACAATAGTCTAAAAGCACTCATTGCCGGCCCTCGTTGTTCCATACTTAATTAGCGTAGGAGGGGGAAATGGAAATGCTGCCCAAGACTTAGGCATGGGGTGGTCTTTGGGAATCTAGGATGGGATAAAGTTAGAGGGGCTTCCCAGTTCATCCCACCAGGGCAGGGCATCCACACTGATGGAGCCATCTGAGTAGTGTGGCTCAGAGCTGGGGTCCGTGCATGCATTACCTCATTTAAGCTCTACCAACCCAATCATCCCTCCCAGGACAGAAACTCGGGTGCAGAGACATGTTTTAAATGCTCAAGATCAGCATCGAGACAGCAGTCAATGCTACCGCACAGGTTTGCTGCTCCTCAGGCCTCAGCGTTGCTGCCTCGGGGCAAGAAATCCTGTCTAGAGAAATGAGATTCAGGGGCACGACCCGCACCTGTCTGCTCCAGATGGCCCAGCTGACCTCATTCGTGAAGCTGCAGGCTGGTCTTGCTCTCCCTCCTGAGCCACCCACGCTCCTAACAACACGGCAATGGCCACTTTTCACGGGAAAGGAGTGACTTTTGTCCAAGGCTCACTCAGCCTCTGCACAACTAGAGTCTCTGACAAGGCCCGCAGTAGACTGCCCATGAGACTTGTAAAAGCCCATTTTGGGCTTTCTCAGGAGCAGGGCTCTCTGTGATTTTGAAGAATATAGCAGTGGTGCAGAGGCAGGAAGCTGGGCACTTGGTTTTGCAGGAAGCTCACTGGTCCCTGGGGGCCTGGGGCGGTAGTTGGCACAGCAATGGCACCCAAGGCCCCCCTGATGATATGATGACGGGACACCTGGCATGCTGCTGTTCTGGGCACCTTCCAGGACTGGCTGAGGATCAGTGGTCATTTTCTTTCCTCTGTTTATTTTTGGATTCAAAAATCAAAATGCTTGTTTATGATCTGGTCATTGGCTGCTCTGTCTCACTGAGCACTTCAAAGCTCCAGAGAGCACCACAGGCTTAGCACTCCTGGAAGCCACATGTTCCTCCGCCCCACCCAAACTGAACAGTCAGGGCGATCTGGTCTAAGCACTGATTTTGAGGTATCCCACCTGGGTCCTTGAATGCAATGCTTCAGATTTGCACAGATTGAAAGACCACAGCAGAGGGCAAGTGAACAGAGACATACAGGATCCGCCACAGTGCATGGTATATAGCAGGTGCCCAATAAGCATTGAGAAGAAATAAAGATTGGAGAAAAGCAGGTCATATTTACTCATTCCACAGCAAGTGCAAGGCAATGAGGTACACGGCTCCTACCCACGGTGGCTCTGGCAGCGGGGGCAAAGAACATGGATAGGAGTCAGGCATCGGCTCTTCCTGTTGGGGGAGCCCAGGGCTGCCACAGAATCCTGGGCAGGGGTCAAGCTCCTGTGACTGCTGGCCTCCTGTGATGCCAGGCCAACCTGCCGAGGCCTGTTGATGCCCACCTTCAGGGAAATATGTGTGGCAACTGTGTATGTCCCTTGCAGGGCACGGCCTTCAGCATGGGGACAGATGACCTGTGGGGGGCAGAGCAGGAGCTCAGATGCCAGCCATTTTTAGAAAAGCAGCCCTTTTCTGGGCTTTTGCAAGCTTCTGCGCAGCCTGCCCATGGGAAAAGCGGCTTGCACTGCCTCTGGCCCTTTGCTTCAGCCTTTCTGATTTCTAGCAACTGGTGGAGGGGAGCTCGATGTGTATATGGCCAGGGCTTTTGCTCAGGCTTTGGAATGCACAGAACAATGTGCTTCTATCCCTGGGTGTGCCTGGCTTGGGCCAACATTAAAATTAGTTTACATGCCTGGAGTGCACATCGGCTCAGCAGTGGGTGTGCAGAAATAAGGGAGGGGGTCTGAGAGGAGGGAGAGGATGCAAGCAGGAGATGGGAACCAGGGCCAGCAGCCTGTGTGGTTTCATAGGGACTAGGGCGAATGGAGAGTGCAGGGGTTTCTTCAGGTACTCTTGGCCTCCAGAGGCCCAGAAAGCTCAGAGACTCAGCAACCCCTGGAAACACAGTGGGATTATTTAACAGGTGGATTTTGAAATCCCAATTGATGACTTCCTGAGATGGATTCTTTTTTGTTTTTTAGAGTCTCACTCTGTCGCTCATGCTGGAGTGCAACAGCAGGGTCCTAGCTCGCTGCAGCCTCGACTCCTGGGCTGAATGGATCCACCTGCCTCAGCCTCTGGAGTAGCTGGGGCTTCAGTAGCAATGCAGCCACAACTACCTAATTTCTTTTGTTTTTTTAGAGATGGCATCTTGTTATGTTGCCCAGGCTGGTCTCAAACTCCTGGCCTCAAGTAATCCTTCTGCCTTGGCCTTGCAAAGTGTTGGGATTACAGGCATGAGCCATTGCTCCCAACCATGATATGGATTCTTGATCTTCCCAAGCTTTTGAGCCTTACACCCTATTTAGGACGTGGTATGGGAGCCAGAAACTCTGGCCAGCCTCATGATGTTGAGTGAAACTTGCAGCCTCACTGAGCCACTTTCCTCAGTATAAACCTGGGGAGGGATCCCTGCCCTGGAACCTACCTCCGATTCACACATAGGAAAGTGCTCAGAAGAGCTTCAAAGCCCCTTATGCCCCAGGGAGCATTGGTACCCATGACTGATGGCTCTATGCCTCCCTTCCACAGCGATTTCCTGAGTCTCTACTGTGAACCATGAAGCCAGGAGCTGGGGACAGCCTATAACTTGGCCAGGATTCTGGCCCTCTAGGAGTTTACAACCTAGACTCCAGGAATCGGTTATCAGTCCCCTTCCTCTCTTCCTATGTAAAAGACAAGAGTTAGGAACTTCAAACTTCTGACAAAGGGAAACGGCTTGATTTTCCAGAGACCTCGAGAGAATCATGAGAAGGAGGTTTTCCCCTTAGGAAGAGAGTTAGAGGAACCACCCAGGTTTTCTTCCCAAGCCTGAAAACATGGGACAAGGAGAGGGGCAGGAGGATGGGAGAAACAGGGGCTGAAGTGGGGGCAACACACACATCCAGGATGAGGTGAGGGTAAGTTACATCTTCAGGCTTGTCTCACACTTGAGAGGTTCACTGATAAGGAAAGCCAAGCCAGAAAATCTTGAGTGCCCCTTCTGGGCTAGAGTCATTCCCAGAGACCCCAGAGTGACCACCCAATTGAGTTTCTATGTATGAAAAGCCCAAAACACAATGCCTGATGATGACCCAGGCAGAAACTCTGAAGAGTTTCTCTGCTCTTTAGCTCAAGGTCAGCTTTTTAAGGGGCTGTCTTCTAGAAGGTACTAGAGAAGAGCAATTTATTTTGAAATCTGGTCACACACCAGATTCTGATTTTGTGTTGTCTTTTCACAACAGGCCTGCTGTGTTTACGACTTGGTTGAGATGAATTTTTTTTTTTTTTTTTTTTCAAAAAAAGGTATTGCATCCTTCTGTTAGATGTGTTGTTGGCAACGGTTGCTAGGGAGAGCTGGGTTCAGTTACAGACACACTGATGCCGGCTCTAATAATACTTTGCTCTGCATAGCTCGGATGCAGACACCTCTTGGCTAAACAGAGCACACACATTTCAACAGAGGAGGGCTTGAACTTGTACTACCCAAGCCTGTCTCAGCAAAGGAGCATTCCCAGAGCCCACGTGGACGTCCCGGGGCAGTGACAGGGCAGTGCTGGGTGGAGGGGGCTCAGGCTTCCATTCTTGTCATTCCAAAGGTCCCATAAAAAGAGGCACACTCGTTCCTCACTTCTCTGAGAAACTGGAGCCCCTTCACCGCCCTGTATCACACCACAATTCCCTGATGAGGATCCAGGGAAACTTTTGGTTCCTTCTCTAACCCAGGCACCCTGGGCAGCCCCCATTCTCCTGTAAGTCGGAAACAATCAATGCTCATCATCTAGTCAGTCAGTCTAGTCTGCAGTCAGGACCCTGTAAAGCCGAAGTTGGGAGCCTTGGTGGGAAGGGGTGCGGGGAGACAGGCTGAACTGCGAAGTCCCAGCCTCTGGTACAGCCTGGCACCGTGGGTGAGAGTGAGGCCCTTTTCCTAAAACATGTGATAGCTGTTCCAACACATATCCCAGGCCAAGGAAAAGGAAAATGGGAAAAGGAGCTGAGGACAGAGAGAAATGGAGGCAGTGGAGAGAAGAGGTGGCTTTCATCTCATCAAGGAGGAGGCTCAGAGTGACGATGAGAAGAGCCTGAGGCTGGGGGAGTGGAAGGCATGTTCTCAGCAGCTGCGGCCTCCTGTGTAACGGGGTTCTCCCGCCAACTCAGGCTCGGAATTCTCCCCCACGGCTCAGCAAAGAGCCCAGCACCTGGCAGGTATTTCTTGACTGGTTTGCGGCATGACAGGCAGAGCCAGCTGATTCATAAGTGGCCACGATGAAACAGTCTGGTGTCTCTGGGGTGTCTCAATGGCGGTGCTCCCCTCTGGCTAAGGAATGCCCAGGTTGTGTCCTTGGAGAATCTAAATCAACTGATTAGGGGTAGGCCCCCTGCCTGCTATGTTTTAATGATTCTCATGCACAGCGAGGCTGAGAACCACTGACCTAAAGAAGAGCCAGTATCTGAAATGCAATATTTCCAGGCCAGACCTCCACTCTGACAATCACACTGGTAAGACTGTGCTTTAGTCTGCCCATCTATGAAACAAAGCCACCACCTACAAACCATCAGTCATTCAATGCCTTGTGACTTCCCACTGTGATCCCTAGATGAGAGCACTAGCATCTACCAGGAGCATGTTTGAAACGCAGCATCTCAAGCCCATCCCAGGCCTCCTGCATCAGAATCTGCATTTAAACAAAATGCCACATGATTCATATGCACATTCCAATTTGAGAACCCCTGACCTAATAAAGACAACATGCTTGGCACATTTAAGAAATGTCTGTTTAATAAACAGAATTTTACTTACAAGGACACTACTAAAAAAAGGGCCACATTTCAGACAAAAAGGAATTGGCTTGGATGTAAAAATCGAAGACCATTTTGGAACTGTGGGATTGGTGACGGGGTCCTCTGAGACCCCAGGGGCTCCAGCACTGTCATGGCTCATGAGAATGGCGCTTCTGGGTTCCTTGAGATAGCAGTGGTGAGTCTGGCTGGGAAGGGTTAAAGGACCTTAGACCTTCTCCCTTCTCCCACCCTGCACTTCCCACTCCCCGGGGCTGCACCCCAGCTTGGCAAGAGCCCTTATACCTCTGCTGCAGACTGTTGACCACATCTGAGGTTGCCCCTCTCCCTCCATGCTGCTGGCTCGCATCATCAAAGCCCTGGCAGCAAGAGAAGTCAGCCAGGGAGAACCAAGTGTAAAGACCGCTGCTGGGAGCTGTGCTAAGGAGGCACTTCACACCCTGGCCCCTTTGGAGCCTGCATTGCTAAGTCAGGTCCCAGAACTTGTGTGTGGAAGTGGTAGCTGAACCTGATCCTATGGGGCATCTCGGAGGCTGCCAAACCGAACCAGGTGCTGGTTGGGGACCTAGAGCCAGATGGGCCCTGAGTGGATGGAGCTGAGTGCAAACCTCAGGGAGGAAGCAGTGGGGAAGGCTGTGCAGGCCGGGTCTAGAACTGCCTGCCAGGAAGGAATGCAAACATAGTTTGCCAGAAAATGAAGTCAGGTGAAAAAAGACATCCCTGGAGGTGTTAGGAGGGAAAGCTAGTTGTGCTAAGCCCAGCCCATCGCTTTCTTTTCTTGCACCTCTTGGGGTTGGGTGGTGAGGGGCCATGAATTATGCTGCCCAGAAAGGCCCGCTGTGCCTCTGTCTCCTTGGCTGCAGAGGGGGCACAGGGCCTGAGGAGGCTCAGCCAGATGTGGTTCAGGTGTCCTCTGGGCCTTGGAGTCAGGGGGCCATTGTGGGGTCAGGGCAGCCCCGCACCAGCACAGTCCACCCGCCTTCCCATGGCAGCCGAAAGGGCATTGTCTAGCCACCCAGGAGGCCTGAGTACGCAGATCAAGCCTCTGGTTATACTCTCAAGGGGCTCCCTCCTTGGCTAACATGAAAGCTGGGACTGCAGGTGGTGAACCGTGGTGAGTGGTGGCCTATGTGGACATTTCGATTTCTAAAGACCTGACCCTCAGGTACTCTACCTAGGCAAATGGCTGGCTTCCTCTGCTGTGGGGGAGGGGAGGAGGAGCTGCTCTGAAGCCTCAGAATGTAAGCCGTGACTGCCTTATGGCGGAGGGATTCCCTTCTTGCCCTGGACTTTAGCTGTCCCTGCAGGCCCCTAGCTCAGGAGAAGGTAGGCTTCCAGCGCCTTCCTTTTCAGACATCCATTTCTCCATGACAACCGAGGGCCCTCTAGCACCAGGCACTGTGCAGCCCCTGGGATACAGAGGTGCAGAAAGTAGAGGATTTCCCACCTCCCAGAGCCCAAGATAGGAGGGCAGTAACAGCACACACCCCAGTTTGTCACTGTGGATTCATGTGGCCATTGGTTTAAGTTAGCTCCTTCTTCACTGCAAACCTCTTAAGGACAAAGCTGTGCCCATTCACTGACTGCTGTATGCTCAGTCCCCAGGCTGGTGCCTGGCACACTAGGAATACTCAGTGAATACTAGGAGGGCGACTGAACATTGTGGCTACAGGAAGAGAGGTGCTGGGACAGGAGAAGGGCCAGTGCTTCCTGGAAATTGGGGCCTCAGCACCACCTGAAGAAGGAGTGTGAGTTGCTTCAGGGGGAGGTGCATGCTCAGAGTGGGATAGAGAAGTGAATTCTGGGCTGGAGGAGAGTCCGTCCATGCAGGGTGTAGTGGGAGGTTCAGCCTGGCTGGTGAGGGGTGGGGAGCAGGATATGGACTGCCAGTTCTCTACCCCAGAGACAAGGTGGCACCCACAGGGCTGGGTTTCTGGGGCTGGTCCCAAAGCCTGCATCACTCATGACAGACCTACCACTGAGCCACAATATGCGGTGAGCGGGTTTGTGAGGATTTAGGGACCCAGGACAGTTTCCTACCACTGGCAAGGCCTTGGGAGCATGAGAAAGGGAAAGGCTCACACGGGGTCCCTCGCGCCCCTTCCTGAGGCCCCAGCTCATCTCCAGCAGCACAAAATCAACGGTGCACTGATGAAGGCTATTGTTTGTGCTTTCCCAGAGGGAACTATAGAGGCCAAGCTCCAACTGATGACAAATGAATCAGGTCTGGAATCCTTCCTTCCCAGCTTTCAATTTTGTGTTTTTTCCCTGCTGTAGTGTTTGCCAAACTGTCTCTCAGCACACTAATCCCACAAGAAGTTCTTAGCTGGGGAATGCAGGGGACTTTGCTGAGTTAAACGCAGCCAAACGGGTTCCCTTCCTGCTGGGACATCTGGAGGCTGTCCTAAGCCAGTGCACTTTGTGATTGATTGAGAGGTGAGCGTAGGGGCCGTAGGGCCCCCTTTGTGGCTGAGTGTTCCCCAGGATTGATGGTCCGCTGGACACTTGTGGGTGAGGCCACCCTTACCACGGCAGGTTGGAAGAAATGCCCGATCTGAGGTGGCCCCTGCAGCCAGCTGCCCTCCCCAAGTGCCCCATGCCCAGGGTGCCTGTCTGCCACTGGGTCTGGCTGGGTTACTTGGAGCTGGCAACCATTGTCTAGAACTCTTGCCCCATCCTGGCCCCTTTTTGAAAAACAAAACCTAAAGCCAAGACCATAGGCTGATGCTGTCTCTGACTCGCCTGTGCCGGGTGCTCTGTGGCAGACAGGCTTCTCCCTGCCCGCCACTCTCCACATGCTCCCAGGACATTCCGGCCCGCGAGGAACATGCCCCATGTGCAAATCCCTCAGGTAATACGGGAATTCGTCACCAGGGGAGTGCGGGCGATCCAGGAATGGGAACCTGATCAGGGCCTGGAGCAGGAGAGAAGCAGCCCAGGCTGGCCAGGGAGGGCTCATGTTGCAGTGAGTGCAACTCACATGCAGAGGAGAGGGTGGGTGGGGATGGAGCCCTGCCGGCTACATGCGGAGGTGGCCTTAGCAGCAACTTCCTCCCAGCTTTTAGGGAAGACGGCAGACTGCGAACCACGTGGTTAAGGTGAAGGTGGCCATGTGCCCTTGTTTACATCTGTTGTCTAGGTATAATTATGAACTGAACCCCCTTTGACTCTCACAAGTGTTGCAGTTCGGATGATCTATTGTATGGTCAACCTAGTTAAGATGGCTCTGTAGCCTGCCATTCTACTTCATTACTTGGAAACTACCATTTTATCTCACCTGGACTGGCAACTCACTTTGTATCTCAACTAGTCTCTAAAATACAAAATAGGAGGAAAGGAGAAATGGCTCTGCCCCAGCCAAGGGTCTTCAAGGACAGTCCCAGGACCTGGTATGGCCACCATCCCATGACCCTGCTATCTGCCTGATGTCACCGGTTTTGGGGCCACCAGCTTGTCTGCTACTGCCCATACAGACAAGCAGGTACTTGTGAGATGAAACGTTGCTAAGCTCTGTCCAAGCACACGCGCCCACTCCCACGACACACTCATGCAGATAGAACCACTGGATGCAGGTCTCCATGGAGGAAGCAATGATCAGGGGTGGGGTTACACTCTTGGAGGTGAAGGGACATTAAGAGGGAAAGAGCAAGGATGAAGACAGTCTTGTATTACCATGCCTTCCCTCTGCCCAGGAGCCCTAGTGTGTCAGCAGACAGACTGTCCCTTTTCTGCTCATGTGTGACTTTGCTCAAACCCATCTCACTACCAGCGATGATCACCTACACACCTGCAAAGGTCTAAGGATCTGGCCCTGGGTGGAAGGAGGAGGAAAAGAGAAGTCCACAGCAAGTTCATGTCTGCTTGGATGTGGAGAGGTCAAAGCACAAAGCCAGGTTGAGACCAAGAGCCAGCCTCTCATTATGAAAATAGAAAGTGGGAAAGGCTGGTTAAACATAAAGCACCTATAAAATTATATTGGTCCATCGTAACCAGGGAGCCCACACATAAACACACACAAATCCAGCCGCTCATTCCTGGCCCCTTGACTGCCTTTGTGTTTTCTATAATTAATCGGGCAAGGGCAGAACTTGGGAAAAGTCCAACTGTGGCCAGAACTCACAGCCTTCTGGCTAGGAATAACTCACCGAACGCAGAGGGGCAGGGGGCGTGGGGCAGTGGCGGCCGGCGTCCGGTTACCTGCAGCATGTTGAGGAGCAGGCTCCGGAACTTGGTTCCCTCCACCATGAAGAGCGCCATCTTGTCGCAGAGCTTGGCGGCGGTGAAGGCAAAGCTGCGGTCGGACACGGCCTTCTGGTAGATGGTGCGCACGATCTCGCCCAGCATCTCCTCGGAGTTGGTGGAGTTCTGGGCCTCCTCCATGAAGGTGGTGAGCTTGGCGTCCACGTCGCTGCTGTTGTTTCGCATGCTGTTCAGGATCTCGATCAGCTTGTCCATCTTGTTCTGCTGGGGAGTGGTCGTCTCCACGGCCACTTCATCCTGGGGGTGTCGGAGACAAATGAATGTGCCTGAGTGAAGCCGAGGTCTCTGTGTAGGGTTGGCCTGGTGGAAAAAGGGTGGCCACCCCCAGGAAGCAGGACAAGGCCTACTTTCCTGGATCTGAGGGCTGGTCCCTCTGGGAACCTCCACCAAAGACCCCTCACACGCCAAAAGCTCCTTGTTGCCTTTTTTCTTGGCCCCAGGGCTGATACTGCTTTTGGCTTCTAGCTCCTACTCAGGATTCTCATATACATTGGCTTTTTGTTTGTTTGTTTATTTGTCCATCAAATGTCTTAATTTAGAAATGACTTAATGGAGCTTATGAAAGAGGAAATAAGATAACAAATATGAAATCGGGCCAAAGAGAAAATGAGGGTAGGAAGACTTGGTCAGGAAGGCAGGTCAGATCCAAAATGCCTGCAGTGGTGGTTAAAAGCGGCCCAGGCAGTGCCCACCTTGTCCCCCACACCCTCAGCTCTGAATGTCCAAGGATGACTTGTTCTCTGGACATAGGGCTCCCTGTGGGCACAGCCCTGGCTTTTTGTCCTGTGGAGACTGTAGACATATGCCACACACGAAGGAATCCTCCCATGTGCCACTAAAACAGTTGGTGCTTCTAGGAGGGACATTACAAGTAAAAAGCCCTACAGCCTTATGAGGTTTCACTGCAACTAGGATCAGATCAGGGGCTTGAAGAAGAAAAAAATGTCATCTTATTGTATTGACTCATTCTTGGTGGCCAAGAATGGGAACAACTTAACTGTGGGGAAGTGAGATCTGGCTGGAAGGGCAGGGTCAGGGTCATGAAATGAGATCCACGCTTGTTCTTCTGTCCCTGACAATAGAAGCTCTGGGCTAGAAGGCACAGACTTCTAAGCTCTGACAATAGAAGCTCTGGGCTAGAAGGCTCTAGATCCCACCCACTCTGGGCCCCTAGCTGTGTTGCTTTGGGTAAGTGATTTCACTCTCTGGATCTCAGTTTCCTCATAGGTAACACGGTGAAGTTAGATGAGAAAATCTATAGCTTTCCTTGAGCCCTTCCATGGTGGGATCGAGTTCCAAGGGCATACAGTCTCTCACTCGAGAACTGAATACTCAGGAGGCTGAGGCTGGAGAATGGCGTGAACCCGGGAGGTGGAGCTTGCAGTGAGCCGAGATTGCACCACTGCACTCCAGCCTGGGCAACAGAGCAAGATTCTGTCTCCAAAAGAAAAAAAGAGGCTGAATCCTGGGTGAAGGAATAGGGTGTCCTAGTTCTTCTCCTCAAACCCAACCACCTCTTCAGGGAAGGCTACTCTGAGTCCCTGGGTAAAGTTAATAGGACACAACTCCCCACCCCAAGAGATATCTCACGCTTTACCTGTCTCTTGAAAGGGAGAAGAACAGTGTTGCTTTCCCTGACGAAAATGTTTAGGATGTGGCTGGTGGCCACCTAGGATTTACCCTTTTTTAGAGTGAGCAGCTAGCAGAGTGGGGAGTGACCCAGCCTGAGCCTGAGCCCATGTCTTCTTGGTCCGGGAGTTCAGGAGGCCTCGCCTGAGTGGAGTTCTTGAAACTGATCTATAGATCTACCTTCTCTGTTCCATTCCCCCATATACCCCTCTCTCCAGACCATCTGGGCCCCAGGGCAGGAACAGCGGTCTGCATATAGAATAGGAACTACCCACAAGAACACATCTGTACACGTTATCTCATTGAACCTTCACAGTCTCTCAGCAAGGTGTGTAGTATTACACCCATTTTACAGATGAGTAACTGGGGCTCAGGGAGGTTAGGTGACTTGCCCAAGACCACCCAGCCAGTCAAAGGCAAAGTGAGGTCTGAGCCTGCTCAGCTGCGTTCTAAAGCCCGTGCTGTTTCCATTCTGCCGCCCTGCAGTTACATTTAGCAGAACTCTAGAGGACTTGGTGGGGTGGATACTGGGAGCAGCATCTTAACTTCAAGAGTGGATCCAAGAAGAGGTCTGACCTGCCTTATCCTGCCTGAGTGTGGACCTTGGGCCTGGCCTCTGGGGCAAGAGCCTGAGGAAAGACAGCAGTAGGGGAAGATGGAGGAGAAGTCTAGAACATGGAGCTCTGCAGAAGCCCCAGGAGGAAGACTCTGTAGGCTCTGCTGCTGTGTGGGATGGCTGTGGGCAAGCTGGCCCTTCTTGGGACAGGTCCTCTCCAGGGTGACCTTACCTGTGCCCTTGCTGGGCAGTGGGGTCAGGGTGGTGGTGCTAGGGTGAGCACAGTGGACTTAATGCTGCCAGTACAAATCCCTATCCCTCTTCTGGAGGTTTAGGGTCATCTACTGAAGCTGTGGGCCAGGCCAGGACCAGGGTGCAGAAAGAGGCTACCAGGAGCAAATGTAAGGAGGCCTCACTTTCGGGCTTATGCTGGCGCAGGCGGGCACCTGCGTGATGCTGAGAATGGAGCCGCCTTACGGTCTGCACTGTAGAGCACTCCCTGGCCGCTGGATGATGAAGGCAGGAAACAGGAAGGCTGGAATCAGCCTGCTCCCACTGTGAACAACTCACCTCTGCCTGGATGGTACTCACCTGTAGAAAAGCTTCAGTCCTTCTTTCATAAGCTCCATGTTTCCCCATTTGGGGAAAAACATGTGTCCCTTCAGCACAAACAATATCTAACCCTAGAAAATGCTCCCTGCACCTCCCCCATCACTCCCAGGCATGCATCTCTTCCCTCGACTCCCTTGGGCTGGGGGCTGGTGCCAAGTGCCTACCCTGGGCCTCTTGGAGGCTAGAGGGTGAAAAGCCCCAGTGTGCTGGAGGGGTTCATGATGGCCCTAGCTGCTGGCAGTGGTGGACCAGTGTGGTGGGTCCCTGCAGTCATAGAAGCCCCTGCTTCCCTGTACATGGCTCCCCAGACCCCCAAACCCACAAGGCTCTGCACTGTGCCCACCTACCAAAGTGCCTACCTCTTGCTGTCCTCCCTGGTGCAAGAGAACAACAAAAATTCAATTACCGGTACCTTTTCCTTTAGCCTTCGCCGCAGTCTGTCTTTGGAAGACTGGAGCAGGGTAATTTTGGGCCGCTCCCCAATGCGCTCGGGAAGAATACTGTCTTTACGTTTTGTCTCAACCTCTGGCCCCCCTGGCTGCTGTGGGGGCAGCCGCTCAGAAGCCACCGGGGCCAGGGTGTCAGGGCTGCGGGGGGCCTCGAGGCCGCTGTGCCCGGTGTCCCCTGCAGTGTCCTCTAGTTTTGGGCTCTCGATGGTCATGGTCTCTTTGGCATTGCGGTGTGCGCCTGCCTCCCCCTTGTCGCCTGGTGGGTGCTTCATGTTGCCATGGTGCCAGCGCCGGTTCTGGCTGTAGCCGTGGTGAGTGGGCCTCCCTGAGGGGTGGGGCGCTGAGCCCCCCTGGTACGATTTCTGGTGGTCCCTGTTGTGTTTGGCACTGCCTGGCTGGTGGTCACCATGCTGTTGGGGCTTGTTCCCCCCTGGAGGTCTCTGCTGCCGCCTATAAACGGAAGAGGAAAGACAGAGAGGGCGATCACTGGGCAGGCCAGTCAGAGTCCCTGTGCCCAGCCGCCAGAACAGGAAGTCATTGCCTTGTCCATATATTCATTCTTCCAACAAACACTTCCTGAACACCTTCTACGTGCCAGAGTCTGTGATAGCGCTTGGGGATACAGCAGAGAACAGGCGGACGGGTCCTTGCTGCTGCAGAGGACCAAAGCCAATTCTTTCCTTAAAATCAGTACTTTATTCACTTATTAGAATATGTGTGAATGCACGCATGTGGAACAAAATTTTAAAAATCCAGTAGCAGATAACAGGGAACCCTCCTGCCTCTGACTCTGTCATCACTTATGGCCTTGGAAGCCGCCGTTCCACGTGTGTGAATCTTCCAGACATAGTCTATGCATGTACCAGCAAAGATGCATACACAGACCTGCTTCTCACAAGCACCTTCCTACGAATGACTATTCACCATAATGCTTTTTGAAAAGTTATATCCCTTTCAAACAACTTTTTTTTTTTTCCTGGAACATTGTCATTGTCACCCCTAAACCCACAAACTAAACATGCTATAAGAATTTTTTATGGGCTAAATTGTGTCCCCTATTACCCCCCAAAACTTCATATGTTGAAGGCTTAACCCCCAATACTTCAGAATGTGACTGTATTTGGAGATAAGATGTGACAAATCACCTTTAAAGAGGTGATTAAATTAAATGAGTCTGTTAGGGTGCGCCCTAATCCGAATTGACTAGTGGCCTTATAACAAGAGGAACCTTTGACACACAGAGACACCAGGGAGGCTACATGCCCAGAAGAAAGACCACATAGACACACAGCAAGAAGGAGACCATCTGCAATTCAAGGAGAGAGGCCTCAGAAGAAATCAACCCCACTGACACCTACATCTTGGACTTCCAGCCTCCAGAAGTGTCAGAAAATAAAATGCCTGTTGTTTACACAGCCCAGTCTGTGGTACTCTGTTATAGCAACCTAGCAAACAGATACAGAAGGAATATTTAACATGATGGGTGTAGGTCAAGACAGGCTCATCTGACAACACTCTCTAAGCACAGGGAACAGGTATGAGTTGTGCACCAGGAACAAACCCCAAACTTTTGAGTTGTGGCCAAAAGACAAGTGAGGAGGTGGTGAGGGGCATTCTCATGACCCTTCTGGCTGGCTCGAAGGCTGCTTCCTGCCACTCAAAGCACTACTATGTTCAAACTCCATCTTACCCTCAGGGTGTTTTCCATGCCACAACTTTACTGGAAGTGCATTTGGAGCACAAGATAAGCAGGAATTCCTCAAAGGTTGTAAAATAGTGGAAAGATTTTGCAGAAAGATAACATAAACTTCTAAAGAATAAGCTCTGCACCTCCTCCGTCACCTATCTTGGGTACTACAGACCTTCATTGCACAGCATGTTTTGAACAAATTGTATTTATTTACTTACAGCTTATTGCTTATTACTTACATAAATTCAATTTTAATATTTACTTGATACATTTTACCTGTGAAAAATTGAGGGTATCCTGGGTTGGGTTGGGGTTGAATGCATTATTTTTTCCCACTAAAATTAATAAAAAATTTTTTTTTCATTGAAAAGCCACCATTGAAAAGCTTAGTAGCTCATTATCCCCAATGGGGATGACAGTCCCTTTGATCCCACCCTGTTGGGGTGTTGGGTACCTTGCCCCTCATTGGACCTCCAGTGGAGTGGTGGGTGGGAGTGGGGCTACAGTTCCTGCAGGGGTGTTTGGCTGGAGGAAAGTAGCTACTGTCTTGAGTTTTCTCTCTTGCTAGGCTGCCCCTTTCCTGGTCCTCTGGCTAGAAAGAGTAGGCTTTTGTTGGGGCTCCGTTTGTCTGCTTGGGCCTCAGGGTGTTTCTTTCTGGGTCTCCAGTTTCTTTAGCTCCAAGTCTGGGATATCTGAGCCAAGAGGAAAACCCCAGGAAATCACCCGTGTGTCATTCTTCAGCTCCCAAGGTCCCTGACCTGTCTGTCTTCTTTCTATTTTTCGGAGTCTTCTTAGGTTTGTTTTTATATACAGTGTCCAAGGTTTGGGGTTGTCGGTATTTATTTCAATAATTTAAGAATCATTATTAAAATATCTGTAAAAATCTGGCACCCTGAACTGAATCCTGCTGACTAGGCATGCCCTGGGCCCTTCTCAGGAGGCCTGCATGACATTTTTCATCCCTGGTGTCCAAGTTCAATCTTGTTGGGTTCTGATATACATTCCTGGGCAAGGGCACTGTTGCCTTGACACTTGGGTGGGAGAGACAGCCCCTCCATTCCCAAACGCACCTCCCTCCTCAATGGCATTGCTGAAATATTCAGTTTCACTCCCCATGGCAGGGTAGGAGCTATCGGCACCAGCACCTGGAGAAGAGTTGGGCCCCATCAGAAAAGTGGGGCCCTTGAGTCAGGTTCCTCCCAGTGTTTCTACCACCAACTGGCCTTCCGATTACCCAGCCCAGCCCACCCCCAAATGCCTGAGTCAGCATGGAGAGCTGCAGCCCTCATTCTGCAGAGTATAAGGCAACCCCCATTGGAGAACCCAGCAGAAACTGTGGCCCACAGACCACTCCTCAGGGCGCCTCGTGCCTGTGACTTTTTGTGAATTCTCCCTCCTTTAACTTCTCAATTACTTTCAACTAATTGCTCCTTCCATGCTCTTTGTTCTTTCAATGTGAGTTATTTTTAAGCCCAGAGAGGAACCTTGGAAATTCCCTCGCAGATAATAATTGATTCTCACAACTTTTGTCATCCTTATTTAGAATTTTTGTGGTGCCTGCAGCTATGGCCCAAGAAATGTCCCCAAAGGATGGTTGACCAAGCCCTTCCCAACATCCGTCTCAAAACTGCCTGGTTTCCCACTTGCCATATCAGGGATTTCCCTCTCTCTACCCAGTGCACGCCTCCACCCCCAGAAAAGAAAACAACTTCTGTCTACCTGGAGGGGAAGGAAGTAATTGCTACATGGCTGGTGGTCAGGGGCTCCAGAAAGAAATCAGCTGGCTCCTGCAGGGCTTCTGCAGCTCATTCCTGGAAATCTGGAGGGACCCGGAATTCCATGTCTTCCTGGTTCGAAAGAGCTTGGAGCCAGCCAGTCCTGACAATCTAGCAATGGCCAAGAATGCCCCAGGCCACTTGGCACTAGTGGGAGTGCTCAGGCTCACCCTTGCTGGGCGGCGGCTCCTTTGTACATGTGGAAAGCCATCCTCAGTTGGGAGGGAAGCCAGGGAGTCCACCTCAAGTGTTCCCTCCTAATTGGGTAGGCAAGACTAACAGGTTCAAAAGAAGGAGGTCTTGATATAGAGCTAAACGGCAGATAGAATCAACTGGGTGAGCTCCGGGAGGGCAGAGAAGAAACCAGATGCCACTGGAGGAAGAGGCATTAAGATTGTCCCTCTGTCCTCCTTTTTCCTTCTTCCTGCACAGGCCTTGCTTAGTTCTCAGGGCAAATAATTGCTGGGACTGGCCTCTGTGTGCAGGCGGGCCGAGAACCTTTCTTCCCATTCGACAGATAAGACAACTGAGGCTCCATGAGGTGCACTCCCACGGCAGGGGGACTGCCATGGGCTCCATGAGTGGGCTAAGCCTGTCAACTAATCACAGCACCTTGCAGCCACCTCCCGTCTGTCTCTCAGTCTCCTTTATAGCCTCCTTGGCTGACGAACACTCTGGGACAAAGACCGCAGTGACTTCTACTAATGGAGAGAAAGGGCTGAATGGCCACTGAGACCTCGGTGGTGATAACTGCATAAGGTCCAAGTTATTTGCTTGAGAAGGAGCCAAAAGGGCCACTAAGGGCACTGGAACAGACTTGGGGTTGGGCCTCATTCTCCAACAATGGAGACCCAGGCTTCCCTGCTCCGGCCATTCACAAATATTTGTCAGCGGTCGTTGGCTGGGCCAGCCAAAACCAGCTCCTCTCTCTTCTGTGTTTGCTGGCGCTGGGTTTCGTCGATACCTTCATTCAGGGGCCAGCTGGCTGCTCCCCACGAAACCTGTGGGTTTGGGGTTTGGCTGGGCCAGGGATGAGCCACTTTTGCTCCCAGAAACCCGGCAAGGAGGCTGCACTTGGTCTCAGACACATGGATATGTGGATCCGCGGTTGGGAAACATACTGGACACCCAGTTTTGCAGCCCTGCAAGCAAGAAGGACAAAACCCCATCTCTCTGCCTCTACTTCTGGGGAAGTCTTCTTCAGGTCAGGAAGAATCGCCCAGGAGATAAGGTTCATATTCCATTTGTGCTACTGGCAACACCTGCTGTTGGGAAAATAATGCTTTTTATTTATTATTTTTTTTGAGAATGGAAATTGTCAGTTTATGCTTTTTCCATCGTTCATTTAGTTTATTCTTTCTTCTTTGGGTTCTGAAATCAGATGTCTTGTTTCACTCTAAGACTGCTCTCTTCTATACAAAAAAACAAAAATGTTCTCAGAACACCACAGCTGCATTTTGGGAGGTGGGTGTAGGGAGAATAACTTCAAATTTTGTTTTAAAAAAATGGTTTTAACAGCAGTCCAAATGGAGACAAATGTCCCTCTGTCCGTTTTTTATTTCATAATCGTTCCCAGCTAGATATTCTGAGGGCCACTGACTTATTACGGTTCTCTCCATGTCGGACACTTTACCACATAATTTGTAGGTCTGCTTAAAAATTTCTGAAAGCAAAATTCCTAGGGCAAGTGGTTTTAAAACTATGCATGGGCTCATATTTCTTGCCTTCAGGAAAAGTGATGACTGCTTATTACCAGCGTAGGCACCTCCACTCCTGCCCACCTACACATGCCCTGAGTGAGCTCTGCCTACCCTGGCCCAGCCACCTGGGACAATGCAAGAGTTGCAGTGAGGCTCGGAGGCACAGGCACCAGCAATTTCTTTGCAGCTCAGGGGCTGCTTAGCCAAGCAATGGCATATAGGACCCAGGAACAAAAGTCGCCACACACACCCACCCCAGTTTGCAGAATGATGGGGAAGCCTAAA